CACAAAAACTACCTGCCAGATTTCAGAGCAACAAAGAAGAAGCTGATAGGCTTCATGGTAACACTACTGAAGATCAAGTTGAAATCTTTCAAAGTAATCCATCCTGTGTCAAGGTAGTGAAGCTATTTAACACATACCTGAATTTCCTGAAGTTTGAAAATGGAGAATTGTCAAGTTTCTGGATGAGTTATATTGACATGATAAAAGTTCTTCTTGGTCTCATTCGTGCTTCTAGGGAGGGAAACTGGCTTCTTCATCTTGCTATGATAAGATCAATGATACCATGGGCATTTGCATACGATAAGTTGAACTATGCAAGATATCTATATGTATACTATGCCCAGATGACAAGACTAGAAATATAACATCCTGAAGTCTATTCTCATCTACATCATGGAGGATTTTCTATGCAAATTGGGCCATCCAATCCATTTGGATGAATTCCTGTGGATCAGGCCATTGGGGAGACAAACAACAGAAATACCGAATCAGCTGGTGGAACCAAAGGTTTTAGTCTTAAAGCTGGTGCTGTAAGTAGGTATTACATTACTGCAGAGTTCAGGTCTACATGCATTAAGAATCTCCGAAAAATGGTACAGACAGATATACAAGGCATATTGCATACAGATTTGGAGCTCTCAAGAATGAAAAAGATATTCAATCCTTATTGGATGCACTACAAAACAACTGGGTGAATCCATTTAGTTATGAACAAGAACTAATGTGTCTCTCAACTGGATCCATACCACCTGATACTGTTAAAGAAGACTTGTTGACATCACTTGGGAAAGGAGAAGAAGCATACAAATCGTTTAGAAAGAACAAGTTAGAATCCTATGAATCTAGATTAAGGTTCCATGATCGTCTACCAATGCAACAGCTGAAAACGTTCAGCACCATTAAGAAATCAAGCAAACCAAAGGCTTCCAACAAGGAAATTGTTCTGAAGGCAGACCACAAGCTTTTTGGTCATATGCTTCTTGTTGCAACAAGTCGAAATTTGGATTCGCAGAGGTATTACAACACTCATTAGGTCCACTACCTTGGTCCCTTGCCAACTCTGATGGGACAATGAAGATGACTAGCAAATCAGTTCTTGCAAGGCATCTGGAAAAGAGAGTATCTCCAGCTGACACAATCCCTTCTGCCTGCATCATTGATGGAATGGTTGTGGTACATAAAGTAAATGCTGAAAGAAAGACATACGGTGAACTGGCAGCAGCTGTATTTGCAATGGTTTTGAGAGATGGAAAAGACTGTGCTAGAATAGATGTGATATTTGATATACAGAGAGTTGTCAATCAAGAATGCAGAACGCAATAAAAGGATGGAGTCTGGTTCTGGGGAATTACTAAGTAAGATTACGTCTAGCCATAAGATACAACAATGGAGATCCATTCTCAGATGTTCAGCCAGCAAAAGTGCTCTCATTGCATTTTTTGGTGAAGAATGGAAGAAATCCTCTTACATTGAGAAATTAGGGTCAAAGGTGTTACTCGTCACTTGCCAGGAATATTGCATCACACTCGGTGAAGAAGGTGTGTCTATTGCCCCCCACCTGACATCATCTCAAGAGGAAGCAGACACAAGGATGATGCTCCACGCAAAACATGCATCCCATCATTATCAATCAGTCATAATTGTGTCTGAAAACACAGATGTTATTATCATTGCACTAACTCTTTTTGGGAGAAATGATATCGAAAATATCTATATCAAATGTGGCACCCAAAATCGAATTAGGTATATTGATATCGGGAAACTTGGTAATTAACTTGGCAGAGACATTTGCAAAAGTTTGATGGGACTATATGCATTTACAGGGTGTGATTCTGTTAGTGCATTTGGAGGACGTGGAAAAATCTCTGCATTGAAGCTATTTATTGCAGATGAGAATCTCCAGAAGGCGTTAGCACGACTAGGTGATAGATGGGAGTTATCTAAAGACCTGTTTTGTCTACTCCAACAATTTACTTGTCGATTATATGCTGCTGGATCAAGAACTAATGAGGTTAATATATTGAGGTACCAACTATTTCGGACTAAGAAGGGCGATATTGAATCCAGTCAACTACCTCCCTGTGAAGATTGTCTATATCTGCATGCTCTACGTGCCAACTACCAAGCTGCAGTGTGGAGTAGGTGTTTGGAGAGTTATCCACAAATTCCTAGCCATAAACTGGATATGGATGGATAATGGAGGAAGGGAATCTTGCAATTGATTGGATGAAATGCCCCCCCCCCCAGCACCAGAGGTAGTAATGGAGTTTCTGTCCTGTAAGTTTACCAGGGAGTGTAAACTACCTGCTTGCCAATGTATGGTATATGGTTTGAAATTTATTTATTTATTTATTTTAGCCATTTATTAAGACAATGATTTTGTGTTTTTAGCTATATTATCGATGCAAAAACAGAATACTAGTAGATACTGTTTTCATTTATTGTAAATTACATTGCAGTAACTTTCTGGCAATAACTAGCTAAATGGATTTCAACATGATTTCACAAAGCAGGTATGTTTTAACTACCAATCCACTGTTACTTCAACTACTATTTGTTATTTTGTTGTTGATTCATTATACATTATTTCAAACTATTGATGATATGGTGATTTTTTATCTTTGACCTCTGTCCTTTGACCCTGACCCTTTGGCCCTGATGATTGGCATCGTCGAGATGCCTGTTGGTGACAAACTTCACTATAATTAATTGACATGACAAATTACCTATACTTAATACATGCATTACACTGATAACATACATTATCATTATACTAAATTTTGTTAGATTGGTTGCTATGGCAACAATATTTAGCTACTTATACGACACGTCCACCAAACGATTTTGTAAACTATATGTCCAGAGCTATCAGAAAAAGTATGGTGGAACTTGCCCCTCGAGATGGTACCGGCAACTGGCTCATGGACTATTCTTACGTGTTCGTAGGAAGCAAAGTTATTTCAAATCACATAATCTTCGCATTACGAGTATGTGAACAAGGTGTTCAGTGTTATAAATTACTTTAAGAATACTGACTGCATATATCAGGATACTATTTTATTGGATAGTATTCTTAATATAATTAAAGTGTATTTTTTTGTTTTTGTTTGTTCTTGTAGTTATATTTCTGGTTAAAATAAAATAAAAACAAGACTGCGTGTCAGCACTGGTAACTGCATTTGCTCGTGCTAATCAATATGTACGAAGGAAGAAGAAAAACATCCCTACGCGAGTGGTTATCAGCTTTGGTAAAAATATAACTCCAGCGACATTCTCCATTATTTTATTTTTAGTCATATAACAAAGAGCCTCGTTTTGACGAATGGTTATTTATAAACTTAAAGTAAATAAATCTCAGTAGCGCTTCTACATGTCCTATATAAATATCTAGTTCTTTAAACATTTATCTGATTTACACATTATATTGAAAAAATAACTATAACATATACCGTAACAATATACTCGTCTGTCACAGATGATTATAAGTGTCTTGTTGCCGTCAGAAGCATTGTCGGCTAGACGTCTGCTCCCCATGTATGAGCACACCAAAAAACCTGACAAACGTTCATCGGCAAAATAAAACTGAACTTAACAGAGTAGCATTTTAACATCAACTTTTTACCGAATTTCTAAATGCAAGGACGATTGCTGAACAATTTTCTGACCCTTGTTTATTAACAGTTCATTTACTTTACGTATGTTTCTGTCCACACTGTCACGCATTTCTTTAGTAAAAGGATCAAAATAGAAATCTTTCTTTGCTTTTCTGTGAAAGCTGCCTTCGAGGTTCTGTTGCACGCATTCAAGTCTCTCCGGCTCCACGGTGCGGTTGAGAAAAATCAACATCCTCGCAACCTCTATGACGGCGCTTCGTTTCAGCTCTTCGTAGTGGACCACCAGTATCGGTACCTTGAGGTCATGCCAGGCCATAACTAATCTGGTCCACTTTTCAATACTAGATAAAACAAAATCCCGCCACTGTAGGTCTGTAATAAAACGAATGAAAAAATAACGAGAATTCAAGTTATAATATCATATTCATATTGTGAGATATTTGATGTGGCGGTAAGAGGCGTTTATCAAGAAGCGAGGTCGTCTACAAGTGATCAATGCAAAAAATGGGTGCATATACAAGGGAATCTAATCAAATGGGTTACAATGATGCCAGTCAGTGTAACGTTGATCATAAATATATGGTTTTCGGGAATTAATTCCCTAAACTAACAATCGCAAGTAATCAATAGTTTTGTTTTCGCTTTTGTTACTTGCGTAATTAATTCATTTCTCGATTTGTGCCTTATAAGTCCAATATTCGAAAAACAAATGAACTTCAATGTTAATGTTATCATGTACTGTCTTTAACATAAGTCTAAGTCTATTTGTCGACTCATAAACGTTTCAGAAACCTTCTTGGGAAAGAAGAGAAACGTGTTTGACATATGCTGATTGGTTTTTGTACGACACATGAGTTCCCACCTAAGAACTGGTTCTACCAACCATGCTTTAAAAATAGTTTTCGACACATGTTTGTATGCATTATTTGTCTAATGTATTAACTTCTTAATCTGGATGAAATGAAGACAAGTTGTCTCAAAAATGGTATTTATTATGTTTTATTTCGCATGTGACTGTGTATACAAATAATCAAAATTTACACAGATACATTGTTGAAGCTATAGTCAGTGACTGGCTTTAGTAATTCACAAGTATGCATATCGTTTACATGTAGGACATGTACAAACACACCGCCAAATGATGTATTATACTAGCCCACAACCAAGAAGGAAAGCATAATTTTGTAACGTCACATAGGGTATTGCATACTCACTATTATGAAAGAATTCGATTGGAACGTCCCCCGTGTGGTCTCTGTTGCTGGCAATTCTTTTATATTCAGAGATGAACGCGTCGTATGGATTGCGAATGAGTAATATCACTGCTCCAAAGTCTTTCTTACGACAGTGATGGATTTTCACAGCGATAGTCCGTCTTGAAGTGAAGTCACCCAATTCACCAAGAAATCCTACAACGATATCGATAGAGTTATACCTAGATTGTATACAATACACCACTCTTGATTGTGCTCTCTCAGTTTCTGACCAGTCTTGTGATTATTGTTTCATGATATGAACGATTTTCTCTGCAAACTCTGGTTTTCTACTGCCATATAACATTTGCGATCTAGCGAAGCATGTTTAGTATAGTAAAAACTATTGACCGTTGAGTAATGCCTCTCGCTGTTAACGATGAAGATCGCCTAATTTATTCAAGCGGTTTGGAAATACAATTTTCCATAAACTATTCGTATATAAATTATTTAAAAACAGAACTATTTTAGACATTTGGTCATGAAGACAATGATTCTAGTGCCAACATTTTAATCAGATAAAACGAATCCAATAGTAAGTAGTATAAATAAATACCCCCCCCCCCGAAATTTGATCTGAACAAATAACACTGATATTAGCTATATACTAGTATTCGATATTCGTCTAAATAAAAAAACTGTATATTACAGCCATCTATGCGTCGATTTTCACGATTTTTTTCTTATCAGACATTCCCTTCAATTAATAAATAAGTTAACAACATGATTTAGTTATGGCAAGTGATTTTAAATATTTCACCTTTTTTTTAAATGCGTTGATTGCAAGCAGCTATTAATATATTTGGACGACTACAAGAGGTACATTGTTCAGCAGCAATGACCGTTCGCCAAATGTAACATTGTTAAAAGAGAAAGTGGTTATGTCCTTTTCTAAGACCACGTATTTGTAAATGCTATTTGTTCATACACTTTTAAAGACCAGAGACACGTTTAAAATCACTTTGTAAGTGTAAGTTAAAATGGAAGCATTTCATACACTTTACCCTTTAATTGGTGTACAAATAAAGTACGTTTAAACAAATCAGAGAATGGGGCTGAACATGCATTCCAATATAGTGATTTCATTGCAATATCTGATAAACTATGGTTTTTATGGTAAACACCCTAAACACGCACGTTACTCGATTTTAGTCAAAACAAAATACCCTAAACACGTGTTTTACACACATACCCATCAACTTATGGGACGATTACCCCCCTCGTATTTAAGTTCACCCCTGCTTAATATCAGCTATGAAAAGAAACACAAGTATTTACCAAAAGTTGACGAAATATTAGAACCTGTACATAACATGCAGCACATTGTGAGTAATTGTCCTAACCTTGTTCGTACAAAGCAGCATCATGATAAAATGACCCCGTGTAAATGCCAGACGCAACTTCAAGAAGATGGCGTGTCCACGTGTTTCCGGATCCGGGAAAGCTGGAAAGCGCCACCAGCGGTGCGTTTTCGGGTGTATCATTTCGAAACCCTATATTACAACTTGGTTTTTGATCTGTAAGGAAAAATGTAATTTAACATGTTTATTTGTTTATTCCAGGTTTGTAGAAAATATTATTATGGTAGCAATATCAATGTAACCATCTATGCCAACTAAATATCAAGACACACGTTAACTAAAATGTGTATGCTCCTAGAGATTTATTTGAGTTGATTGATTTCTGTTGGTGACGTCAGAGATTCTTATTGCGCATGTTCACCTAGTCCTTGTACTTTGGTACAGTGCAGTATAGCGTAACATGAAGGACGTTTTCTTTCAGTGGCAAGGCGCATTTGCTAAGCCGCAAGTTCAAATGTCGATTACCCATCAACAGGTGAAGAATCTAATACATACAAATTGTCCCAATTTTGTTGAGAGCGAGAGAGCTACAAGACCTAATTAGCTCGTCAAACAGTGGTGTATTCTCTACCGTCATGGCGTCGACGTTGCAAATACCATTTAATGGAACACTAGACACGATGATGGGAGAAAACACAATTTGATTGGTTAAAGAGATATCCTGGCTCTCTCGCTACTAACTATACATCGGCGGGTATTTGTATCTAATGTCTATTGGAACTCTTTTTTTCTTCTTCGGGGTCAATTCGGTTTGAGATAAAACTGATGGTAGTGTCAATTTAACACTGAAGCGATGATTAGGCGACCCACAGTTCCCTTCCCCGTCTGATAGAATGAAATTCTCCCAAATTGATTGGTAGAATGTACTATAATAATGTGTGTGAAATCGGATTTGGGACGAATTATCAAACTCGCAGACGTCCATACACAAATAAATATAACGCAGCAGAGTGCGGACATCGAGACGAGAGAAACACGAAACTTGAATTTTGCATCACATTAAATGTTTTATTCTCTCCATGTAACCACGGTATGAATTCCTGATCAAAGTAACCATGGTAACTGAACGTGAGAGAATGGAACACTATTAGAATGACGAACACAAGTCTCGGTTATTTAACTTTAAGGGTATAAATGATGGCAGTACATTGGTTATCCATAATAATCATAGTCAGGGTTTTGTTTAAATAACAAACAGAATAAACAGGAACTGAAATAATCGTTTATATCGAAATAGGTACCCCGGGGGTCATGTACTGAATACCTTTGGTGATGATTCCAATCTCTGGCATATTCCCAAAGTTCGACTTCCGGTACTCACGAAATTCAAGGTGGTCTTCATAGACTAATTGGATGGCTGCATATAGCAGTAAACATACGGTAATATAAAATAGTTTTCTTTGTGTTATATTAAAATATCCACTCCTGTTGACAGAGAATATTTCACATTAGAATATATGGATTTAAACGTCCAAAAATACGGCACAGACAAACAATAAACATTTACAACATAATACATTTCAATGAAATGCGTTTTATCATCATAATAAAAACAACAACAGCTAGAATCAGATTTGCAATCACTTTTGATTTATCGCGATTACATCAATATACTAATGCAATGTTTTATTTTGTATGTTAGGGTGTCTCTGGTATTACACGTGAAACATGCGACAAACAGCGTTGGCTGTAGTGTTGTTATTATTAAAACCCACGACTGTGACAGCGAATTTACATCCGGATGTGTTCTCTATGCGTATTGAGGAATTAGATCTTCATTCGCGCAAACGATCTTGTCGCACTATGGAAAACCACACCGCTATATACGGATTTCTTCTGTAAGTTTAAATCATTCGATACAGTAGACATGACAATTCAGTTATGGCCTAGACACCGTTTAGCGATTTCACGAGGTTCATAAAAGGTATTAACGGAAGGAGCCACGACGCCTATCAAGTGACCACTTAAGCCTCTTAACTGGCTTATTTCCTTTTGTTTCAACCCAAATTAATCCTGATAAGGACATTGTCTAGCTCATATTTGATGTCAATGATAGTTTGCGATTGTTTACACAAGTAACGAGTTAGTGGAATATGATATAACCTCGCCGATTTTTAATGTGACCATAAAATATATGCGCATTATGAAACTACGGTCATCACACATGCGCACTGGGTTTGTTTAGGTGTGAAAGGTCAAAATACGTATTTCACAACCGGAAATTCAACAGATGAATGTTTGACTTCACAAATTTCACATGTTTTAATTATTAGCAACTGTAACTATAACAAGATTCCGAGAGCATACAACAACAATTCCTAAGGACTCCAAAAAAATATTATCACAGAGAAATTGTCTAGGCATGCTCTTCTTTCGATACTATCTTTGCTGTCGGTGTTCCCCGATGTCCGGTGGTCAAACATTTCGACAGTTTCGGGTGCCAAACCCACGCACTGACAATGGTACCATTGAATAATGCAATCATTGATTAAGTCTCATTACCATTAAAAATACAAAATCCACGATATTTCATCAGTTCTTCTTCAATCAATGTTATATTTGACAATTTTCCATTAAAGTTCGCCAAGATCTCCGGAAACAACAGCATTCAAACTAGACGCCATTTTCAATACTATAGTATTGTACATGCGAGGTTGGACTATCGCTTCCGAACATGCTCCGAATATTACCGAACGCTCGAGATTAGCGCAACCCATTGTACGAAGGTGCTAAAAGCAAACAAGAACAATGTTTGTGAACACACATTGACAAACGATCATGAGGTAAAGCTAAAACAATAGCGTCGTGGCTCCTTCCGTTAGTACCATCCATGCGAGGTTCGAGTAATGGGTATTATTATATATCTGTCACCGTAACGCCATTAGTTACAGCGTACTACTATATTAAGTTATGCGAATTCCAAAAAATGAAATGATCACGCGCTTAAGCGTCCTCTAATAATAAAAACAAACATGGCTGCCACTAGGGTTTGGCAGGATTACACACAAAGAAGTTCGCTGATTCTATTCTAAACCTTTTGGATTACGGCATTCCCATGATGTATCCTTGGAGGGAAAAGATGTATAATAATAAGCTTATTGAGGATACCTCAAAGTATACACTCAGACAGTGCGCCGTTGCATTGACCAGCTGCGCATCGGTCGATACTCCGTACTGTCTTCGTGCATACTTTGAGGTATCCTCGTAATAATATCATATTATCTTGCTGACACTCGACAACTTAGTTATGGTGCATAAATCGAAATTTTTCCTTTGAATTAATCGAAAATATAGTAATCAAGCCACGCAAACTGCAGTGTCTGGGATATGCCATGAGATCGTAGTTATTGACAACAGAAACCGATCAAACTATGAAAACATGAGAATGAGTTTCAGTTCAAAAACAGTCTGCAAGTATTTTGTTATTTACTTAGCGTATTTTACAGACCCCATCTAGACCTAGCTGTATCGACTACGGTAACAGTATTCTTAATCTTCGTCTGTGTCTCTAGGACTAAGTGGAAGTTAAGTCTCGGACATAGTCACTCGGTGTCGATTATTAACTAGGAAAATTGTGTAACGTTTTCAAGCAACGAAGATCTTGATAACATACAATTTTGACTAGTTTTGCGATATTAGTCACAATGTTCGATGGTTTCAATCACCGTTACAGTTACAGTGTTTTAGGGAAGACGCCTGTGTCTCGTTCCAGTGCTATATATTGTCTCACTCAAAAGTTAAAGATATTGGGTCGCATCTTGTAAATATGCTCTCCCGTTCACTCTATTGTGTCTAAACTAATTACTCAGGCTGACAACTGTCAAGTTTCGTACAAGCTTCAGAGTTTGTCTGACCCTTTACAAGTAAAATATGCTACAATTAAAACCACTTACTTACATACACTTTTACACATTTAATTAGTAAATTAAGGGACAAAACATAATATATGTTCGTGCATTGTAATAGAGGTTTTTTATGGAATCATTTTATACTATGTGTAAATAGACTTATTGCATATTTCATTTATTTGTTTACCTTTAAAATGTTTAACATACCTAGTTTTGACCCCTTCAGTGGCATAATTTAGGAGCATATATCATTTAGAACATTCTGTGTCAAAATGTATAGTTAATCGTTTCCGTATTAGTTAAAGCGCGGTGGTCGTCGCGCAGCCTGTGTTCGAATTTCATGTAAATAAATAATGTATTTTACACGCGTTGAATACGTCGCTATGAGTCCCATATCGAACAGGACGCGGCACGACGAGCACCGCCCTTTAATGTTATATGTACATTGTCAGTCATTTTGTGAAAAAAACTGCTCGGAATGATATATCAGCGTATACTGTAAGTTTTACAACCATAAAATATGAGTGATTATATGTGGTCTCGGCACAATCTGTCCTAATGTCGGCGATGTACATCACCCTGCAATTTCAGAATGTAGGTTTATGCACTAGCTGTGAAATGGGAGCCTTTTCATCATTGGGCACACGTCTTGACGTTTGCTTGAATATTCTATGCATAACATGTATAAAATGTGTGTCTTCCACAAACCATGTCTTTCCGTACATTAATGTAAAGGTTCATACCGTTTTGTTTTTTTTTGTTTTTTTTTTGCGAAAATTGACTTACTTTTCTGAACTTACACATTTGTGCCACTTCACTGATGTTTTTAAATACACGATTATGATGTTGTGTTCAGTCTGGCTATTGTAACAGCTTGGGGTTACGGCTCAATATAATAGACATGATGTACGCAGCATGAATTTAAATAAACCATTGAATAAAAAGTAACATGTTGTTGTCTACACAACTTGCGATGCAATCTGGATGTGTTAAACACAAATATCGTCAAATATTGTTTCCGTATTTAAAATGGGAAAACGGTTGTATGGAAATATAAACTATACTACACTTAAGGCAAAATTACAATATATATATATATATATGCTCTGTGCATATTTTCACTTCTGCCTGCCCCAGTATGCAAATTATCGGCAGATTAAAGTTATTGCTTTCCAAGTTACGTGAATAGTATTGTTAAATGTTGAATATGTAACAAGTTTGGGACTGCATATTCTCAACTGAACACTCCAGTGCTCTATCCATATCTTTAAATTGTTTTTGAAAATAAGTAAAATTACATTTTTCACGCCTTTTTCATCCATGCGGTGAAAATTGCGGTGCCAGACGCTGTAAATGATAATTACTTTTCCTCTAATATTATTTTTGCACGTCCGTTGAAAACCTGGCCATGATGTGCTGTGTTAAGTCGATATCATCAAAGCTGCATTCGAACTCAGACCCCTGACTTCGATGTCAGTGATAAACACACACCCTATTTAACGTATCCTTTGTATGATCACATCTCTAATTACGTCAAATCGTGCTGATCTCATTTTCGCTACATAATCGTTCTGGACTTGTATATGTATTTGTCCTTATATATATCCATGCACTTTTAAATTTTATTGTTCTCTCAAATTGTGTTTATATGGAGTATGGATTCTCCTGTTATAATTTGGATATACAAATGTTATGATAATAATTACGAGACATTTTGTTTTACGTTCACCCACACGTTTACTGATTCACGCATTGCGTAACTTGTATCTTAAGACTGTCTCTAGTACGAAATCCATTATTTGTCCAGCGAGTATTGTGATAAATTTGGTACATATTTACAGTTTGATGTGCTCATTACAATAAGAGGTGAGCCCACTGCGGATCTGTTTAATAAAGACACATATTTGGGTTGAATGGCGGTGGTCGTCACGCTTGTGCAACATTTGTGTTGATAAACATTGATTTTCCCAAAGTTCAAAGCGCTTTTCTAAAGGTAAATGCACTAATTAACTACTTCAATACCTTCAAATCTAATTTATGATTAAAAGTGATTCTGTAATACACAAGGACTTATGACTTAGTTTGTTTATGTTTGGTCTTAATGTAGCAAGCTTAGAGCTTGTAGTCAAACTAAGCCCTAGTTTTTACCAACTAGCTTAAGTTTACAAAATGTTAGTTTTTTATCTTGTGTATAATTAGATTTACCACCTTGTTCACTCATGAATTATATTCTCTAACTTACGAATAGGCTAAATTGTTTGCTGCTTTGGAAAAAAGCCCGTTATGAGAATCGCAGTGATTAGACAACAGCAAGTGCTCTGCTTGTTATCAAGCTTCATATGATGACATCACATATTTCAACAATGTGTTGTCAGTAGTGTCTACTCTTGAACCTTTTCAAACAGTATGGTACCTCGTTATTACCGAGGTAATACCATAATGCTATATAATATGCATTATCTTAAAAAGGATTACTTGACTTTTCAAATGCATGTATTTACGTTGAGGTCATGGTTAAAGGCCATGTTACACGAGGCAATTCATGAGCCTGTAATTGAAAGCACGACTCATCGTCGTATTGTCTAGGCGCATATTATAGGTGAATGTTGATTGTTTGCACTATAATTGAAGTAAAGTTAATCTCGTGGGCGTTCTAGTTTTAAAAGATTACTAAATTACAGGCCTTAATTGTTACAAAATTCTATTTTGAATTTCAGTGGTCCTGCTTCCCGCAATAAGGCATTTTCGACCATTAAATCAGTGAAACTTACAAAAGATAACTTTATCGTACATAAATGGTTTGGGCAAATTGTGAAGTATTTCTTCACTTTTAGTATATATATATACTAAAAGTGAAGAAATA